TATTTAAAAAAATTTTTCAGGAATTGGGCCCCATTTTTTGGGGCCCTTTTTCCCAAAATTTTCTTAATCACATAAAAAATTTTTAAAAAAAAAAGGGGATTGGGAAGTTTTGTACTAATACAATTTATTTGTGGAAAAAATTTTTTTTTTAATTTTTCCCCGAGATAAAAAATAATATTAAAAATAATCCTTGATTTCCCAAAAAATTTTTTTAAAAATTTTTTTTCGGTCAATGAAAAATTTAAAAACAAACACCCAAAAAACAAAAAAAATTTCAAACCAAAAAAAAAAATTTTTAAAAAAAAAGCCCCTTTAAATGCAAAATTAATGTTTTTCGGAGTTTTAAAAAAAAAATAAAATTTTTTAAATTTTCTGAAAAATTTTTTTAAAACCAAAGGTACGCAGTGCTTTACCAATCTACCCACACTGGCCCAATACCTTGGCGTGTAGCATGAGCTACACGTTTGACCCAAGGCAGCCAGCTTTCAGGGAGAAGGCTTACAGCTTTATATTATATTATATATATATATATATATATTATATATATTATAAAATATATATATATATATATATATATATATATATATATATGATGACACTGTGCTCTTGGGAGATTCTGAAGAGAAGTTGCAGAGATTGGTGGATGAATTTGGTAGGGTGTGCAAAGAAGAAATTAAAGGTGAATACAGGAAAGAGTAAGGTTATGAGGATAAAAAAAAGTTTAGGTGATGAAAGATTGAATATCAGATTGGAGGGAGAGATTAATGGAGGAGGTGAACGTTTCAGATATTTGGGAGTGGACGTGTCAGCGGATGGGTCTATGAAAGATGAGGGGGAATCATAAAAATTGTTGAGGGAAAAAAAAGTGAGTGGTGCACTTAGGAGTTGTGGAGACAAAGAACTTTGTCCTTGGAGGCAAAGAGGGGAATGTATGAGAGTATAGTTTTACCAACGCTCTTATATGGGTGTAAAAGCGTGGGTGATGAATGTTGCGCGAGGAGAAGGCTGGAGGCAGTGGAGATGTCATGCCTGAGGGCAATGGGGGGGTGGTGTTGAATATTAATGCAGGGGAATTCGTAAGTTTTGGGAAGTTAGGAGGAGGTGCGGGATTACCAAAAATGTTGTCCAGGGGCTGAGGAAGGGTTGTTGAGGTGGTTCGGACATGTAGAGAGAATGGAGCGAAACGAAGACTTCAAGAGTGTTTTCAGTCTGTAGGGGAAAGGGAAAAGGCGGGGTGGGGGTTCGCCTGGAAGGGTTGGAGGGAGGGGGTAAGGAGGTTTTGTGTGCGAGGGGCTTGGACTTCCGGGCAGGCAGGGTGAGCGTGTTTGATAGGAGTGAATGGAGAAAAAGGGTTTTTTAAATAACTTGAGTGCTGTTGGAGTGTGAGCAAAGTAACATTTATGAAGGGATTCAGGGAAACGGCAGGCCGGACTTGAGTCCTGGAAATGGGAAAGTACAGGCCTGCACTCTGAAGGAGGGGTGTTAATGTTGCAGTTTAAAAACTGTAGTGGGAAAGACCCTTCTGGCAAGACAGTGAAGGAGTGAATGATGGTGAAAGTTTTTCTTTTTCGGGCCACTGCCTTGGTGGGAATCGGCCGGTGTGATAATAAAAAAAATAAAATATATATATTTTATTATAATATATATATATATTATATTTTTATATTATATATATATATTATATATTTAATATATATATATATATATATTATATATTTATATATATATATTATATATATATTTATATATACAGTGGACCCCGGCATAGCGAACGCCCTTTCATAGCGAACATTCCGCATAGCGAACGCTTTGATCGCTAAAAATTTTTCCCGCATAGACAAAAACCCGCCTCAGCGAACTTCGTCCCAGACGGTCCAATTGGGGCCCCCAGCCAGCCTACATGTGCCCCCCGTTCCCATTGTTTACCAGCTAGCTCCGCGGTAACATTCAAGCATACACTCGGAATATTTCGTATTATTACAGGTTTTCGGTTCTGTTTGTTGAAAATAAGTGACCATGGGCCCCAAGAAAGCTTCTAGTGCCAACCCTGTGGTAAAAAGGGTGAGAATTAGTATGGGAAATTAAGAAAAATTTTGAAGGGTTTGGGGCTAACCTGAGAAGCCTATGCCAGTTGTGGAATCCATTGTGCCTACTTCAAAAATTAAAGGGAAAAGTGTGCACAGTGGGTTGAACTGCAAACCTTTATGGATGAAAATCACCCCGACACAGCTGTTGCAAGGCGTGCTGGTGACTATTTCAATGACAATGTTATGGCCCAATTTTAGACAAATCGTAAAAAGGGAAAGGGAGGTACGAGGGTCTATGGCAGAAAGAAGTCCAGTGATCTGAAGCTGGTCCTAGTGGCATTAAAAGAAGAAGGGAAGTAACCCCGGAAAAGGACTTGCCCCCTCAAGTGTTAATGGAGGGGATTCCCCTTCTAAACACTAAACTCTCTCTCCCTCCTCCCATCCATCAATCTCACAGATCTTCAATAAAAGTAAGTGTATGTAATTGTGCATGCCCTTTTTTAGTTTTTGTGTACTAAAATTAACATTTTTTTGTGGTAAAAAATTTTTTTTTTTTCATACTTTTGGGTGTCTTGCACGGATTAATTTTTTTTCCATTATTTCTTTTGGGGAAAATTAATTTGCATAGCGAACATTTTGCATAAGACCAGCCCTTTTTGCCCGGGTTAAGTTCGCTATGCGGGGGTCCCCTGTATTAATTTCACCAACACACACAACCCACACACACACCACACCACCACACAAACACACACACCCACACACCACACACCATAAATGGACCCGATACCAATTTTAATCCGTGCAAAAAAGGGTCATTGGTATGCGAAATAAACGGTATGCGAATGAATTTTCCCCATAAGAAATAATGGAAATCAAATTAATCCGTGCAAGACGCCCAAAAAATATGAAAAAAAAAATTTTACCCGGAAATAACATTTTCCTCACACAAAAAGAGGATACAGCACAATAGTAGAGTAGTACATGCACAGTATATTTGTGCATGTACTAGTTACTAAAAGAGAAAAATGCACTTACCTTTTTGAAGTGCGCAAGGCTGATGAGACGGTCCCGGGAGTGCCCCTTTCCTCTGAGTATGTGGTCCTTTTGGTATTTTCTTCCAAACATTTATCACACTGTGTATGTCAATACGATTTTAAATCTCTCCCAAAAAACCTTTGTGGTTTAAAATTTTCCCCAATTTGGCACTAGTTCCATGCATTTTTCCCCGTTCACCGGGGGTTTTGTCGATGGTGGGGTTTCATCCTGGAGACAAGATTAAGGACCCAATGGAAATAAGTTAGACGTTCGATGACCTGACTTTTTTGGTTTCCTGGGTGGCAATCCTCTGGGGTTAATTGATTCTTGGTTATTTCAAAAAGCCCACCAACAACAGTGCTCAGAGCAGCAGACGATGCTACAGCAGCAGCAGACGATCTCGCAGAGCAGTGACGTGCTCAGCAGCAGCAGCGATGCTACAGCAGCACAGACGATGTACGCAGCAGCGACGATGCTCAGCGCGCAGCAGCAGTGCAGTGCTACAGCGCGCAGACGTGCTACAGCGCAGCAGCAGCTGACAGTGTACAGCAGCGCAGACGATGTTTCAGCGCCAGACGATGCTACGCACGCTGACAGGCAGAGAGCAGCTGACCCCCAATTTGTAGCTTGGTTGATTGGGGTTTTTATACAACCGGCAGTCGGAGAACCGCCTCCACTTTCAACTTTTCAAGTTTTTTTTCTTCTCTCATAGAAATTCTCACCCTTATTGCTGTAGGGTTGGCATAGAAGCTTTTTTGGGGGGCCCATGGTCACTTATTTTCCGTAAAATACCCAAAAACACTTAAAAAAAACGAAATGTTATGATTGTTGCTTGGATGCTACCGCGGAGGCTGGCTGGTAAACAATGCCACCGGCGGAACATGTGAGGCTGGCTAAGGCGCACAATGGACGCGTCTCGGACGAACAGCGGTGAGCGGGTTTTTAAACGGTATGCGAGGCAAAATTTTTGCGATTAAAGCAAGCGGTATGCAGATTAATCGTTATGTGATGCCAACGGTATGCGGGGGTCCACTGTGTATATATATATATATATACAGTGGACCCCCGCTTAACGATCACCTCCAAATGCAACCAATTATGTAAGTGTATTTATGTAAGTGCGTTTGTACGTGTATGTTTCGGGGTCTGAAATGGACTAATCTACTTCACAATATTCCTTATGGGAAAAAATTCGGTCAGTACTGGCACCTGAACATACTTCTGGAATGAAAAAAGTTCGTTAACCGGGGGTCCACTGTATATATATATATATATATATATATATATATATATATATATATATATATATATATATATATATATATATATAATACATACATACATACATACATACACACATACACACATACACACACACACACACACCTAACCTACCATCCGACTTACGACCGAGATCGGTTCCAAGAAACCGGTCGTAAGTCGAAATGGTCGTTAGTCGAACTTTACTACTGAATATCAACAAAACATTTTTGTAATGACTTTATTTTATTGTGTTATTTTGGTATTACATGTTTTACTTTCCTTTTTATGCTGTTAGTACTCTATTTTATACTGTAAGGTTTAGGATAAACAGTGTGTACAACACAGATACAGTGGACCCTCCTATTTAGTCCTGCCTTTTCTGTATGCAAAACTGTTTTTATTATCTATAAAATGTATATTTTGTTAATATTTTTGGGTGTCTGGAATGGTTTAATTGGATTTACATTATTTCCTATGGGAAATATTAACAAAAAATACATTTTATAGATAAAAATAGTTTTGCATACAGAAAAGGCAGAACTAAATTCGAGGGTCCACTGTAGTTGTTTATTTCCCAGAAATTTGGCATAAAAAAAACACGGTCGTAAGTCGAGTGGTCGTAAGTCGAGCAGGTCGTAAGTCGGATGGTAGGTGTATATTTTTTTTTTTTTTCAGGAGCTTAAATCCATGGCCCGCATCCCCAAGATTTCTGGAGTTGGGAGTAATGCCAGAGCTGACAAAACTACAGATGTTCCCTCCAAGAACAGGTGTGTACTTATGTTTATATGATGGTTCATCTTTTCTAAAGTGTCATCACTTTAAGTAGTTTGCATTTTGTCTTGAATAGAAATATTCCTCTTTATTTGTATTTGTGTTTATTGTCTATATCTTTGTAATTTTCTTTTAATTAATTATAATTTTTATTTTTTTTTAGTTTTTAAAATTCTTTATAATCTCTAGAAATTGGTATTTTTTGAAGTGAAAATTCCAAGTTTCAGTTATGTTTTAGAGGCACAGTTGATGTGCCCAGTATGGTATATATTTAAATAGTATTTTAATTTTTAGAGCACTTGCAACTTGGCCTGACATTGCCATGGTTGGTACCACTTTTTGCCAGAATGGACTGCAGACTGTATATGTACTACTATAATCTGAGAGTATTATTGAAGACAGACAAAATGGCAGATCTGGAGAATGTACATAGAAATTGTACTGACCATACAACTTCGAACACCTAAATTGCTGGAGAAAACATGTGATTCCTTGAATTGTACTCCTGTATGATAAACAAGAAATAATATTATATACACACTAGGTCCTTGTATTTCACTTAGGTTATGTTTCTGAAATTAACACTATGTAATATTGCGTCGTGTCAAGTGAAAACCAGTTGGGAAAAACAGGGTTTCATTCTTGACACCTATTACAATATTACAAATTTGGCAATGAAGCTTCTAGGGGAAGCTAAACTAGTAGGCTTATAGTATAATTAATAAACTCGCCCATTACCAAACCTGCAATATGCAATGTTGTCCGGAGTACAAAAACAAATACAATACTTTTTAATCTTTACTAGTAAAATTATTGTTTAAGATAAAAGAGTACATTCTTTGATTTGTAAAGAAACATTATAAAATAAGAGTATATTCTTTGGCATTATTATCACATTACACTAACAGTGTAGTTATGACCCTACCTACCCCATATCACTTGATACTAGTATTCTCTAAATGTCATGATACTCCTACTACTCCATGTCACAAGACACCCTTGTCTCTGTGCTACAATGCTTCTTCTCTCTGTGTCACAAGATGCCCTTTTCTCTGTGCCACACGACATGCCTTCTCTCCGTGTCGGTTGTGTGGGGTTCGGTAAGGAGATAAGAGGGTTGAAGGTAAACACCTTGTTGGATGGTAACAATATATATTGTCAGACTGTGGTAAGGAAGGGATGGGCCCAGCCTGCCGTGTTACTGCCTGGATGTCTATACGCCGAGTGAGAGCGAGGCAGCGCGTCTCACTGACTCCAGCTGTATCCCGTGACGTCATACAGTCACTCGGCCTAGGGATCTTCTATATAAAGCACATGGATGGTACTACGATACTCAACTAGTCTATACATACAACACATGTAAGGGGATCAGCAACTATGCTGACAGCTCGATCATGTTACGTATGTCGTCTCGACATACACTACTATGCTATAGGCTGAATAGGCAGGTGGTTCTGGGCTGATTCTATACAATAACAAAGACATATATAACTTAGAACTAACGGATGGTATCATAATGGATGTTAACATAATGAGTTTTACGTAATGGGTGTTAACGTAATCACTTTTAACGTAATGAGTTTCATTGTAATGCATTATGACTTATAAGAACAAATCATTGTACATTATGGATGGAATTGATCGATCGATCTGTATTCATGCACTCTACGGATTCTGAGGAAGAACAAATATATATTTACAAAGTGAAAGTAATTAACAGCAAAATCTGGTGCACACGGATCATAAATTCTCAGAACTCGGAGGGAACGTGAACACAAAAATTCTGACAAACTGATCATTTAATAACAAAACACACAGTTGACAGTTTCATTCATCTCGGACATCTAATTATACAGTCTGTTTACATTTAAACCCAATTCTGCAAGGGTAAGGTTTACGTATGCAGAATGGTTATCTCTGGGAGGATCGAATTCCTCTGCAATGGCTAACACATGCCTTGACTGAGGGAGATCTGAACGAGTATCTACAAAAGATACAGCTACATTCACTAGTGACCGTGGAATTGCTAACTCTTCTGCTAGGAGTACTCAACTCGACTGTTCGATACAGTAATTCTTGGCTCATTACAAAGTCACTAATGGGTGCTGGTGGCTACACAGTCAGAGTAAGATCTTCCTGGAGCAGGAATCGAATCACTAGAACACAAGGGATCGGCTCTTTCTTACTGGAGGAATGAACAAACTTGGTGGAGTGGATGACTCTCCCTGGTTGAAAAAATTAACGCTATAACATGCAATATGAGCATGGGAGAACGAATCTACTATCTCACTGCAAGCACAGGGAAAAATAAATGAACACAGTCAACAATACTGATACTCAATCTGAGTCTCACACAGTGACACGAGGTATCAGCTATAAAGAAACTACACTTACAAACGTTAACAACATGTGAAAGTTACTCGAGAAAGAACTTTTTACAATGCACGGATTACTGTCAAAGAGGATGGGATCACCATCTGGAACACAAGGGACAACAACAACACTCAAGTGAGCACACTAGCCACAGAAACGTCTTTCTGCAATGGCTTGTGGCATCAGCAAGAGATAGCATAACTCGTTGCAAGTAAAGTTCTTCTCAAAGCATCCCCTGGGAAGGAACGAGTACTTGAACAAGTCGCCATCGCAGGGATAGTAGTCTCAGCACCCAGGGTTGTCTGAGGTTCCTCTGAAACCCAAGGTAACTGTACACTATCCTGCGTGCACGATAATGTGGCTGGAGTCCAGACAGGAGTGACAGTATTACTAGTGCCTGACCGCTCGGCTACGTTAATAAGTAATGAACGGATCTATAGGAGCTTAATCTGAACTTCACATTTCACAGCACTTTAACAAATCTTGGATACAAGCTATGAGAACAAACACATTGCTCAAGGGCTAGGTATTGTCTTTCATTCAGTAAGGGAATACTGATACTGTGGACTGATTCATATTGACTTTGACTGGCATGATACACTAAGTGAACATTCAAAAGTGACTGGGACATGTTCTCAGGGAACTTATTCAAGGGCATAAGGCAAGAAAAAAAAAATAGAATGACACAGTAAGCTTAAACGGGAAGAAAATGCTTAACTATTCTGCATAAGTAAATAAAAATTGACAGGTCACACTTTAAGCAAAGAAAACTCACACTCACAAAAGAAAATACTCAACTGAATAAACAACACTTGGAAAATCAGAGAACTTGTACTCTACTCAAATCTAATTTGCTCAACTTTACTTTAAAATTGAATGAATGGCACAGTGAGTTGTCTTTACTCTCAATGCAATAGGGAAATTCAACAATAATATGATGAATCAATCAAAAATGTTAAAATGGACTCAATAAAGCTTGTGCAAAATAAAGAAAAACTGGGAAAACAATTCACTAAAAATAAAATAAAATGGCACACAAAGAATAAAATATTATGCACAGAACAGAGCATAAGAAACTGCACTGAAATAAACTGTAGCAATATTGCAAATAACAATTGCTAATCAAAAGTGCTGCACACACTACAAAATTTCTGAAAGAAAAATTTTAATGGCAACACAATGCTTGCACAAGAATTATTGCAAAATGAGTCAATGTGCAATAAAAAAAATTACACACAAGAATTACTACAAGATAAAAAATTATTATCAAGGAATGAACTGAGTGAACACTTTAACTCTTAATTGCAGCTTAAGCAACACTCACTGAACAAACAAAAGAATTATTTACTTTAAATGAAGAACTCAAAAATTGCACTAAGAGTGAATTTTCTCAATGAAATATAAAATAATAGGTGCAAAAACACAGAACAAAAGGTTTGAACACTTACAGTGATGCAGAACACAACACATCAATATAAACACAATACTAGAATTTTCTTGCAATGAAACTTGATGTATAAAAAATTTGGAAAAAATAATTTTCTTGCTTGCACAAAACAATGGCACTATTGTCTGTGGAGATAAGACAAATTAGACACTGGCTAAATGAAAAGAATTAACACAAAAATGTTCAATACACAGAGAAAAATGAAATAAACTGGCAAGAATACACAAATGCTGGGATAAAAGATATAACAGACAACACCGAGTTGTGATGCAGAATACAAGGTAATAAATTACTGAATTACTTCACTGGAATACTGAGAACACAAGGTGATTCTGAAGTGTAAACACAAGTTCTATACTGCTCATATGTGTTGCACACAACAAGGAAAAAACACTAAGGTACTTACTTCAAGTATAAAAAAAAAGGAGCACAACACAACAGACATGAAATTATGCACGAAAATTAACACCGAATTAAGAAGAGAAAAAAATATTGCAAACAATATATAATAAACACTGAGTCTAATCAAGAGTTACTGAATGTCACTAAGAAATCACTGGAAACACAAAAAGAAATGTCTCAACACTCGCAAATGTCTCTATGAAAAATATTATCACTGTAACGACTTGGTGAAGAATTAGGTAGATGGTGGAAGGTTGGAGGATGGAGGCTATCATCTCGTGGCTGGCTACGGTCCACACGTGATTGTAGAATTAGCGCTTACATCGACGATTGACTCTCACAGGAGGCTCTTAACGATGGCGCCACTGACGAAAACACACTCTAGCTCTTGACCCCCTATGTGGTCCTTAAAATATGGTGCTAAAACCCGTAGTAAGACTACAAACAGTGGTAGTGGTTGGGTGAGTGGCTGAGTGAGGTGGCTGAGGCCGGGCAGTGGCGAGGCACCGCGTGGTGAGTGGGCCTATGGGATGAACGGCGTAAGCCTCACTGGGGACACCCTCACTGGCGTGAAAATGTTCCTAAGCTTAAAACAAACCCACGAAATACCACAACACCACAGGGATGAAAAAGCACTGAGAATGGCTTGGAGCTTGAAGCACAAAGCGATGAAGACTGTACCTACGTGGCTTGCTTGAGTACTGGGTTAGTCACCTGGGTTAGTTGCTGGCTTTGCTTAACCCTTCACACAGAATGGGTTGATAACTTCTAACT